GCAGATCTTTCTAGGCCCAGATAGCTTCACCATTCACTTCTACTAAACCTCCAAGGAAAAACTAACTCTAACCTTATATATTCTTACAGCTTATTTTATGAAGTTAGCATAGCCTTTCACTTGAAGATCTTTTTATTGTTGGTGTTCTGGAAATTTTCAGTGACGTGAATTGTATGAGCCATCTTTGACTTATTATTCTGGGTATTTGATTTTAGAACCTTTTGATTTGAAGGCTTGTATATATCTTCTTGAATCCCATTGAGGATGCTTAATTAGATGTTTGTTTCTCATATCCTCTCTTTTTTTCCCCCTCTGTATTGATTTTAGAATTTTTTTTTTTTTTTTGCTGCTCTCTGTTGTAGGCTTATCTCAAATGACTGTTGAATTGTGGTTGTTCATTTATATTTAAAAATGAGGAATTAGGTAGATTGAATGGAGCTTTGAGTATTCAGGCAGAATTTGTTGATTGGAGTTTGCTTAGAGAAAGTGGGCAGAGAGGGAGCTTACTGTTATTCTGAGAACCCCTAAAATGCCAGAATGAGGAAAATTTTATTCTGGGTCATTAATGTGCATATTGGCTCCTGTAGTTGTCCTGTATACTGATTCCAATAGCATATAATATGGGTCTGTTGTGGAAACTTCAGAAAATAAAGATAAGTACTAAGAACATAACAAAAATCACTTGAAAGCCCATCAAGTGGGCTTTTACCATAGATAAAAGTGTATTTATCAAATATGTATTATATATAACATAAAATTGGGACCATATTGCCTGTTCTGTTTTATAATTTGCTATTCATACTCAACAATGTGTCATTTTCCCTTGTAATTATAAACATTCTTCTAGATTGCCACTGTTAATGGCTGTCAATAGTCACCTATATAAATGGTCCATATTTTCTTTAGTCATTTTCCTGGGTTGAACGTTATGTGTATGTCTGTTTTTTCTTATTATGAAATGTATATAATTGTATTTAAATATTTGAACATAATTCTTAACCTCAGGATAAACTCCTGCAAGTATAATTTTTGAGCCAAATAATATGGCTATTTTAAGGTGTTTTGTTTTAGGATTTTCCTACAGCTTCTTGTACCCAAAGTGCTTGGATCAGTTGAAGGCTCCATTTTACCAATTGTGCAGACATGAATCTGTAGAAATCTCTAATGTACAAATTGGTTTTTACGTGGATCCCTTTTTCAGTAGTGTGGGTTGGAGAGCCACTGTATAGATATAACTAAAATGTCCAGTACCATCGTTCCCTGTGAAATAATATTTCTTTTCACTCTATTACATGTTTTGGTAAAATTTTCTTTACACTGCATGGTCTTCAACTACTGTTGAAAACAGATCACTGAAGAATTAAGACAAAAAAAAATGTTAATGTACTGGTTTATGGCATTTTTAAAAAAACAGGGAATAGAAGGGATGTTCTGTAGTTTGATAAACATTGGTGAGATTATATTGTCTTCTGGGAAAACTCTATAGTGGGCCTAGTCCTCTTAGTGAGTGAGATGTTCCTAGTAGGAACTGTCATTTATTGAGCACGTCTGTGCCCCAGTCACCCATCTAGACATTTTCTGTACATTATGCCCAGGGCTCCCACCAACTTTGTGAGGTGGGTGTCTTCACCACTTTACAGATAAAAAACGGGGCTTAGTGAGGATATGAAACAATCCCAGGCCTCATAGCTGGTGGTTGTCTGGAAGTCACAAGAATGTAAGCCCCAGGAGAGCACTGAAATTGTTTTGTTATGTGTACCTCCAGCACTAGATCAGTGCTTGACATATTGTAGGGTTTCAAGAAACACTGGTTAAGTACGGAATAAATGAATCAGCAGGGGTGGGATTTGAACCCTAATCATTTTGAACCTGAAGTCCTCTACCAGGCAGATGTCACTGTCCTTATAGTTTTAGTGGTTCCTTGAGAGACTGAGTGTGAGGTTTGCCCCTAAGTGATATGCTTGTTCAGTGCTGATGTCTCTTTTCCCCATTCTCATGTGATCAGTTATAAAAATCACTTCATGTAAAACTAAACTGCAGTTTGGGAGGATCTTCTTCAGATGTCACATGGAACTGAAATGATGCTGAATGTAGAAGGGGCCAGGCACGCATGAACAACGGCTTAAGCGACTTAGAATCTTTTCTAAAAAAAAAAAGTTCCTAACTTCTGCTTTGAACTTTGTAATGCTTACAAGTTCTTCAAGAATGTGATATCTTTGAGTCTCCCTTTGAATCTCCTGTGGAAGTTTCTCAGCACTGGATTTACTCGTTAGGATCTAATCCCCATCCTCCAGGAAAGGGAATCCCCTGAAGACTCAGCACTGCACTGGTCTGAGTTCCCACAGAGTTTTTTTCAGAAAGCATGAAGCTTTGGTCAGAGGTCAGAGGACGGATGGGCAGTGAGGTCAGCTAATTCACTTTCACAATGGATGGGCATTTTTGTTCCATCTGTCACATTTGAATACCAAATCCAGCAATATACCATTTCCTAAAAAATTTTTTTTATTGTATTTATATTGTGTATATTTATTTATTGGTTTCTATAAAGAAGACACAAAAGCACTTAACAAACTGACTTTGTCAACTCAGATGAGGCAAACTGGGGGATTTATGGGTTCCCCCCAGATTATGTTTAATTAAATCACAGCTTGCTGATTTTCAGCTCAATGATTATTTGTTGAATGTGTACTATGTGCAAGGCACCATGTGAGACGTGGAAAATACAGAAATGAGTAAATAAATCCACGCCTCTTTAGAACTCAGTGTCATTAGAGACAGAAATAAACAAATCTCATGGAGCTTGGTCAGGCAGCAGTAACTAGGGGTGAGGAAAGACCTGAAGCATCACAGAGCACCTCCTGAGAACAGAGAGGCAGGTAAGTCCAAGCCCTCATTTCCCATTTGGATTTGGACTCATACTATAGCCTTCCACAGTGTTGTCAAAGTATCTTTCTAGAATTTTTAAATCCAGTCATGTCACTTCCATATTTAGGTGCCTCAGCAGCTCCCCGCTGACTGCCCCAAAGCCGCAGCCCCTTTCTTCCTGTCCCTGCCCACGACCACTGCACTCCTCTTGTACCCCAGCTACCCAAGTTCAACTCTTACCACTGCTGCTCATCAGCTCCATGGTCCTTGGCAAGTTACTAACCTTTCTGTAGCTCAGTTTCCTTCAAGTGTGTTCATCATAATTTAGCTCATAACATTATTGTGAGGATTAAATGATTTAATATAAAACTCTTAGAAAAGTGCCTGACACATGGGAAGTGCTTTTGAAATGACAGCCATTACTGCTGTTGCTATTATCTCTTCCCTGAACTGGTGTTTTCCATACTTCCGTGGCTTTGCACGAACCTGTCACTACTGTGGAGTTTAATTCTTGGGTTGCTTGTTACTATTTTGCATATTTACCATCCACATATGGCATCATTCTAGAGTTATTGTCGCCCATATTAGATTATAAACTCTGAAATTAGGATTTTCCCCACAAGTTATTTTTTTGTCTTGTTTTTGTACTTCCCTGCAGACTCTAAATGCAGTGCATATTGCAGACATGCAAACATTTGTTTATTGGTTGAGGGGGAATCCCTTTTTCTCCATGTCTCTCTTGGTGAAGCCTTTGGTTTCATTGTTTTGCTCTCCACTGTGCTGTTAACGTGTTAACATTTTTTACATATTTCTGCTGTAGCTCTTGTCCAATTCCATTGCAATCATTCATTTTAATGACCCTCTCCCCTCCCTCCCAGCCCTTTGTTTCTTTGTAAGAGTAGGGGTTCATTTCATTTTATTTGTGAATTTTATCACAGGTAAAATGTGGATTGTGCACAGTAGACACTCATATTAGAATGAATGCTTGATAAAGAAAGAGTAATACACATTATACTGATGCCATTGTATTTGAGAGAATCAGTGAGAAAAAAAAAATTGTTTTTTTTAAGTATCTATTTCCTTTCGCTCACTGAAGGTCTAAGAAGACCTAATGATTTAGGGACTCCTAACTAAACAGGCAGGAAGCTACAAATAAATATTCTTTTAACATAGAGGCAAACGTTCCAACAAGTTTGCTTTACTTTATGCCTCTCAGTTTCATGTTTTTTCTGGTAAGATGTTTTTTCTATATTTTTTAAGAAAATATCAAAATATGAAAAATACCAAAATTGTTATAGAGAAAAAAATGGATGGTGAATTTTGACATTGCTGAATTGAACTACTTCGGGAAGAAAATTCAAATTGAATTAGATTTCACAGTTCTGAAAATTGTTGAGAAATTTCCTCCTAAAAACTATTTTGATTGGGTGTTTCATAACAGAGTAGTGGCTGCTTTAAATTTCATCTTTTATGAATGTGACTATAAATGAGAAATGATTGTTTCTGTTGTCATACTTGTGTTTCAATTCCATGCTATGCATTATCTTATAAAAGGTAAATCCAAGTAACTTTTTTCAACAGTGAAGAAGTGATTTTAAAAAATCAACATGTGTCTTCTGCTACTTAACAAGAGAGTAAAAAGTGTATTTAAACCAATGGTTACAATTTAAATGCTCACATACTACCAGATCTTTCCATAGTTTTCCTCTTCTTCCAATTGTCCCATTCAAATACCCATGTCCACTTGGTCCTACCCCTGTTCAGCCATTCCACTCATACCTTGACTCTCTTGTCCCCTTTTATGTTTTCCCTGCTTTCCCATCTCCCGGGCCTGGTCATCTTTTATCCCACATCCTGACTCCTACTGCTAGAATTTCAGGCCATTTATGTCCATTGCATCCATGACAGTCCATGTATGATTGAAGCTGGGCTCCCAGAGCTTGAGGGTCACTTCTTTCAAAATATGTCAGTGTTGACCACTGTGCTGCTTTTATTCAGTCTGAACAGACAGCAAAGTGTGCAGTTGTGTGGCTGCTGTGGCTCCCAGTGGTAAGTCTATGTGACATTTTATAATAATGGATAATCGAAAAAGGGAATCAATTGATGAAATGAAAGTGCAGTAAAGAAAAGTGATAATGCTGGAAGTGAAAATCAAACCTAAAATAAATGGAATTATGGAAGAAGTAGGTAACCATGGAAATGTGACCACTGCCACGGTTCAGTGGACTCTAGATATGAAGCCAGAGGAACTTAGTGAAGGCGGATTTATTGATGTAAATAAGAGCAGTTGTGACAAAAAAGGATGAAGATATCCCAGAGAAAGTGACACTGTTACAGAACTTCGTATTAAAGGAAATCTTGGAGACATTTGATGATATTGGAAGTGCAAAGGTTAAAACATATTTCTAAACTTAGAAAGGAACATGACAATTCCCCAAGGCACAGAAAAGATTCTCACACTGTTTATAAGTTACATGATGGATGAGAAGAAGGTAAGTACTATTTGAAGTATCGTAGGCAAGTTTTACAAAAAAATAACATTTTAATTTTGGTTTTAATGTTTTAAATTACAGTATATTAAATATAAATTAGTTTTACTATTTTTTCATTTCCCTATATATTTGTAATTGACAGTAAAAGAGTTTTTAATGTTTTCAATAGATATTTAAAAATCACCCTTCTATAAGGTTGTGTTGGTTTAGAGATTTAGGAGAGTCCATTAGTGCTTGTTTGTGATACCTTGTTCTGTCCATTTGTCCTTGTTAATGTATTTGTTCCAGCTCTTCCTCTGAAAGCTCCCTATTTTAATGGAAATATGCTTAGGTGTTTTAATCCTAGAAAAAAGCCTGACCTAGACCCTGCTGCATTTTAGACTCACTACACTCCTCTTTCCTTTCCTTTATCTCCACTTTCTTTTGGAGTAAGTAGACTTGCGGCTTCATTTCACTTGCCATTCCCTTCCTCTTTAGTTCTTGCAGTCAGTTGACAGCAGGCATTTTGAGAGTAGAGGTCACGTCTGCTTTATTAATGAGTATTTGTACCTAGCCTAGAGACTGCTATATGGTCAGTATTTGACATGCCTTATTTAAAGGAATGAGTCCGTAAAAGCCTCTCCCCATCACCCGCCCTGCCCCGTTCACCCATGCCTCCTGTGTCTGTTGTCTCTTCACCTCGGCTCTCTGGAGCAGCACACCATCTTTTCATACCTCCACCAGCATTCATTCCGTTTTGTGTTTTATTATTGTTGTTGTTTTTATTGTTGTTTCAGCTAAACTAGGCTGCTCATTATTCGTCTGCCACTTTCCAGGTGCCTTACTTCCTTGGAGACTTTCCTTATGCTGGTCTTCCTTCTAGAAGTTTGCTTGGCTCTCTCCTCTCTTCCCTCCCCCCAGCTCTGCCTGGCAATATCATCCCATCATTTCCTCCATCCACAGTCATGCCAAAGCCTTTCTCTATGAAGCTCTTTCTGATCTCCCTCTTCCCAACCACCTCATGGTTTCTCCTTCTCTAAACAACCGTAGAACTTTGCAGCTGGTTCATAGAGCTACCAAATATGGGCCTTTTAGGCTAATGTTTTTACCTTCTCCCACACAAATAGAAGCTTCCTGAGATACCTGTTTTGTGGATTGTTCTGCTGCTTTGTCTTCTGATTTACAAAAGTTCTGTCGTTTTTCTTAGGAGTTGTGTGGTATATCAATTTATTTTAAAATGTCAAAGGTCAGAAGGATATGAATAGGAAGAATGAAAAAGTAACAAAATGTTAGGGCTGAAAAGACTTTTAGAGATCCATGTAGTCCAGCCCCTTAATTTTATAGATGAATAAACTGATGTCTAGAAAGCTTAAGTGACTGGCCCCTGCAGCGAATGTTGAAGTAGAGACGGTAATGAACTACAGAGACAATAACAGTTGCAGCCAAGGGACTGGGAGCGACTGTTCACTAAGCTAGTGAAGGCCTAAAGTCAAGGTCCAATGGATATTTATTATAAAAGCTATGAGAAAAGTATGTGAACAGGGATAAAGGAGGGGGAGTCCTCGGGGCAGAAACTCACTGCAATTTTATTTGAGTAGACTATACCGCATACTCCCTTGAGTTCAAGGACCCCGTGTATGCAGCAGTTTCTAACAGCTGGTGTTATTGTTATCATCTTGAGAAACACTGTGTGCAGCATGTCCTGCATGGGTACTGGTGCCATGCGTCTCTTCTGGCTGTGGCCACAGGTCATGGCCGTTCTCTTAGCAGAACATATCACAAGATGTTAACCTTCTACAGGACCCAAGTCATAGAAGCAGGTTGTGGTCACATTTGGGCCTGGGATGCAATCAACGAACCCTCTTCATGCTTGTTCCCACGGCTGCCAAAGTGCACAGGAGGATGTTATATTATTTAGGTTTGTGTAGTTAAACTGTTACAAGAGGCATGTGATATTCTCATATTGCCTTTAATGGATTAACAAATAGGAAATTGAGTCTTTAGATGGTTTTTCCTCTCTCTTTCCCTTAATTATTACTATTTTTCTGACTAATTCATTTATATTGGAGAGTTTCTGATTGCATTAACTTTGGGTAATGTAGAATTGTTTGCTGACATTTAAGTGAATATTTTATTGAAGTATAACATACTTATAGAAAAGTATATAAATCACAGTGTACAGTTTGAATTTTCAAAAAGTGACACATCCATGTGATTAGTATCTAGATCAGGAAAAATAGGAAAAGTTTAGAAACATTTAAGAAAATTGGTAAAGGGCCACAAAACATGATTACATTGTTAAAAAAAAAAAAGAAAAAAAATTTTAAAAAAATTTGGAAAACTAAAAGAATTTTAAAACTATATGATTTTCTTTTTCTCCCCACAGGTATTGTCAGTATGTGTGTTAACAACAATCCTTGGTTGTATATTTGGGTTGAAACCAAGCTGTGCCAAAGAAGGTAATTAGTACTGTGTGTGTGTGTGTGTGTGTGTGTGTGTGTATTCAGCCTTATTTAAAATGTCATTGAGATAAGCATTATTTCCTAATCCTATGAGCACTCCATAGATATTGCAAATTTGATGCTGATTTGAGCCTTTTTCTTGAAACTCTTGTATTACTTTAGCTATATAAAATTTTATTTACTTGCAAAACTTAGTCCCTCTGACTATGACTAAGAAACAACAAAAGCCTCCCAAATAATTATAAGTCAATTAAGAACAAAGAAACAGCAGACATGGCCAGCAGGTCTGGTGCTGTGCGCCTGGAGAGTCCCTACCTTCCTTCAGGGACTTGAGGACACCCTTTCTCCCTGAGGAATTAGTTACTGAAGTAGCCCTGGAGGTTACTAGGTGACCAGTTAGCATCCCTGGGCAACCAGAAACTAATCAGTATGTGCTCGTAAGGCTTTTAAAATTGTAGTCATTGGTGGTTTCAAAACAGTAGTGATGGGCCTGCCCGGTGGCGCACTGGAGAGTGCACTGCTTGGGAGTGCGGCGGCGCTCCCGCTGAGGGTTCAGATCCCATGTGGAGACTGGTTCCCGCTCACTGGCTGAGCGCGGTGCGGGCGCAACACCGAGGGTTGCGATCCTGTTGCCGGTCAGTAAAAAAGACAAAAAGGAAAAAAAAAATAACAGTAGTGATATTTTAAGCTTCTAGGTATATATTTTTTTCTTTATATTGATTGCAGAAATCTATCTAGCATTGACAAAATTGCTATAAAAATCAAACTAAATCACAGTAAATTGTAGTCATTATTTTGGCTCTGAGGTAGGATTTTTTTTTTCCCCCTTATAAAATCATTGATGGTCTTCCTAGGGAATTTAATTTTAAAAATTGAACAAATTCTTCTGTTCGATTATTCTGTAATTGTAATATTAGTCATTTGAAAATTTTAGTAATTGTTAAACTATCATGTATTGTTGAAATAAATGAAATGTAGTAATTTTGTATATTTAGTCAACAAACTATTCAGAGCAAATTATCTGAGTTTAACAGAAGTAAGAGGTTACAGACTTTAGTGTTCACCTACGTAGTCTTTTGCCATGAAGCAATTCACCCTGATCAGTTTGACCCACAAGAGTAAAAATGAAGGATTGAAAATAGCAATTTTAATCTTAGCCCAACATAGTATGCATCATATTTGAAAAAATTACTAGGTACATGTTAATGAACTCCAAGGAACAGCTATTATTTTAGTAGCTTTCCCCCTGCTTGGGCCAGAAAAGTTAGTATTTCTGACCCTAGAAATTATTATAATTACTTCATGTTCTTAAAATTGCCTAGTTTCCCAGGGTCAAATGAGAGTTAAATTCCATGGCAGTGTCTTGTTGTGTCAGTAGACTGTTAACATCAAGAACTAAGGTTATTTTTTATTGTTGGATGTCCATTATTATCCTTGTATTTTTTTTTTCTTTTTCTTACCATCCTAATTTTCTAGTAATCCATTAAAAACCTAGCTTATTCAAGGTATCTAGCAAAGAGTTATAACCATAAAACTGTTTTTAATAAAAAGTATTTTTCTTCCATATCCACCATTTTTCTGTTTAGCAAAAACTTATTAGTACTGTCTATGGGTCAGGCACCTTGCTGGGTACTAGGGATATGGTGTGCTGGGCAAAATCCAGGTGTGGGCTTTGTTCTTAAGAAGTGTGTTTTCTAGTGTGAGACTGGGATATTAACCAAATATATAATGTAGTTACAAATGGAATTAGGTGGCAGAGGGGAAGGACATGATTTTTATGAGCTTAAAAAATGGAAATTGGACCTAGGCCGGGGAGTTTGGAAAGCTTCTCAAGAGAGCAGTGCTGGAGCTGAATGTCATGGTGGGAGGGGACAGCTGGGAAACACACTCTTCTTTACTAACATCAAAAGTGAGGTGAGTTAGGTATTCTTGCCCTTTCTCAAATATTCTTAATCACTTTTTTCCCACATCTTCTAATTTTAGGAAACCCCATGGCTGCTTAAGCCAACATTTTCATATCATAAAATATTAAGAACAAGCCCTTATTCTGACTTTTGTCTTCTTTATCATATATATCATATTTAAGTCTTATCAGACCTAGTACGGTTTGTAATAAATAAAAGAAGAAAGTTCTCTTTTTCTATGGCAAGAGATAAAATCACAAACTCTGCATAAGGTTACCTTCTGTTTGTGTCATTTTCTGTGTGTACTTATAAAAAGATCCTTGAGTTGCTTTATTTCCCTTTCTGTGTTTTCTAAAGTGGTATTTAAACCTATTCTATTTCTAACTTAGGTGTATTAATCGATGTTTGCTTTGTAATTATATAATGATTAGAAACATCCAACTCCTTGTTTAATATTTTCAGTTAAAAGTTGCAAAGGTCGCTGTTTTGAGAGAACATTTGGGAACTGTCGCTGTGATGTTGCCTGCATTGATTTTGGAAACTGCTGTCTGGATTACCAGGAGACATGCATAGAACCAGGTAAAAATGTGCATGAAAAAGGATGGAGTCATGGGCATTAGAAAAATGTCAAGGAAATTTCTGCAGCTTTTAGGTGTGTGATTTACCTAACTCATTTGAATTTTCTTTTTAATTTAACATGCACACACATTTTGACATTAGCCTTTATATTTCAACAGTTCCTTGGAGAAGAAATTTCACATAATTTACCTTTCTTAAATGTTTTATGGATAGTAAAACTGTACCTATTTTTATTGTATGCTGAAAGCCTTTGTAGTCTAATTTTCATTTAAACTAAGTTCTAAAAGCTGCTTGAAATATATAAATATTTTCATTCTGGGCCTCTTAAAGCAAGAGTTCTCAGTTGTCCATCTACACTGTAAAATGAAACCATTGGAACTCACTCTCAGTTTGATTTGGACTTCTCTGCATATGATATGGAATGATATTTAAATGGGAGTGAGTCAGATTTAGATTAAATTTTGAGAACCCAGAAAATGATTGGTGGAAGAAGCTAAGGTTACATATGAATTGTGTAATAATAATTGTCTATGGCTAAATTTGAAAATAACAAAATTCTGGGTTTTTTAGTGAAATAACAATTGATGCCTGGGTGCTTTGTATCTGTTAGTTCAGAGTGACTGTGGTAGTGGAAGATTCTGTGAGTGACTGAGAATTATGAAATAGTTTAGTGCCTCTCAAGAGTCAGGCTCCAGAAGGCAAAAGTTATGTGTTTACTTTGGACATGTTGAATTTGAACCATAAAACACGTTTTGTTGATGTTTGTTTCTAGCACATATATGGACTTGCAACAAATTCAGGTGTGGTGAGAAAAGGTTGCTGAACAACCTCTGTGCGTGCTCTGATGACTGCAAGGCTGCTGGTGACTGTTGCGTCAACTACACCTCTGTTTGTGAAGGTCAGGCATCCATGTGCTCATTGGTTCCTACAGCAGCCTGGCATCTTCCAGCATCCCAGCTGGGTTTTGCATAGGTCTTCTCTTTTATATTAGGAGGAGTTATGTTTATTGGCCAGCTATATTAGCTGAAAAAATACTTTAAAAACTTTTTATTAAAGAAAATTTCAAACATGCATGAGTAGAGAGAATACAATGAACTTCGTACCCAGCTTAATGATGAACTTTTTATGAAAGAAAAACTTTTTATTAAAATCAGCTTAATGATAATTCTTACCTATACATGGCCAATTTTGTTTTATCTGTAGCCATTCGCTCTTCCGCCAACACCCCCTCGTGTTGTTTAGATAATAGCTGAATACTTAATGCCATATTTGTGTAAAATAAAGATCACTTTTCCAGTCCTGGCTGACTTTTATGTCCCAGGTTTTTCTAGTAGTAAATGAGGACAATGTCTGCCAGGCACTGAGAAAATCAATGTGAAATTACTTCAAAAGATTATTTGTCCTGTCCAGGTATTACAGGGTTCCTTGAAATTTCTTGACAGAACCTGGCTGTATATGAGAAAAAACTAAGATATCAAAATACCAAAGATTTTGTTGTGTGGATAGAAGAAAGTTTGTAAATTTTGGCTAAAAGTATTAAGAATTTGAAAATGGACAAGAGAGGCCTAGAAGCAGGCAAGCTGCAGAGCATGCTTGGGGGTCCTAGGCAGGAGCCGAGGGTAGCAGCCCCCTCTTCCTAGAAGCAGGCAAGCAGCAGAGCATGCTTGGGGAGCTTAGGCAGGAGCTGAGGGAAGCAGCTCCCTCTGCCTGGAAGCAGACAAGCAGCAGAGCATGCCTGAGGGTCTAGGCAGAAGCCGAGGACAACATCCTCCACCTGCAAGCAGGCAGGGAGCATGATGAAAACACCACTTCCATGTGCGTGGCCCACCACAGTTACCACCACTGCCACAGCTGCCACAAAAGTAGCTTGATGCCACAACAGTAGCTGCAGCCACCGTGCAGGCACCCTGCCAGACACTATACTGTGTTGACAAAAGGAGAGTCCCCAGTGGAGACCGGAAAGAAAGAAGAGGAAGCCTCTCTTCTCAAAGCCCACTCCAGAGTAATGGAAGAAGCAACTGCTCTACCAGATGACCAGACATCAACATGGAGATACTAGAAATATGAAAATCCAAGAAAATGTGACACCACCAAAAGAATACAGTAATTTTCAAATACCAGACCCTATAGAGCAGAAAACTGTTGAAATGACTGAAAAGGATTTCCAAGCAATGATCTTAAGGAAACTCACTGAGATATGAGAAGACTCAGTTAGACAAGATAATGAAATGAGAAAAAAAAAATCCAGGATATGAAGGAGGAAATTTTCAAAGAGATTAATACCTTAAAAAAGAACGTAGCAGAACATGTGGAACTGCAAGATTCACTCAACAAAATAAAAAACACAACAGAGAGCTTAAGCAGTAGGCTAGAAAAAGCAGAAGAAAGAATTTCTGATCTTGAAGATGGTCTTCTTGAAACAACCCAGGCAGACAAAAAAAGGAAAAAAGAATTTTAGAAAGTGAAGAAAATCTAAGAGAGCTAGCAGACAACCTTAAGTGCACAAACATTCAAATCATGGGTGTTCCAGAAGGGGAAGAGAAAGGAAAAGGCATGGAAAATCTATTCAATGAAATAATAACTGAAAACTTCCCAGGTATAGGGAGAGACAGACATTCAGATCTAGGAGGCTCAAAGATCCCCAAACAGATTCAACCCTAAAAGATCCTCTCCAAGACACATTATAGTTAAACTGGCAAAGCTCAAAGACAAAGAGAAAATCTTAAAAGAAACAGGAGAAAAGCATCAAGTCACCTGTAAGGGAGCCCCTGTTAGACTAATAGCAGATTTCTCAGCAGAAACTCTACAGGCCAGAAAAAAATGGGATGGTGTATTTAAAATACTAAAAGAAAAAAACTGCCTGCAATAATATTGTCCCCAGCAAAGCTGTCCTTCAGAAATGAGAGAAAAATAGTGTATTTTCCAGACAAACAAAAACTGCAGGAGTTCACCACCACATGACTAGCCCTGCAAGAAATCCTCAAGGGAGTCCCGCATCAGGAAACCGAAAAATAATCACTCATCTTACCAGCTATAGTTCTTTTCAAACTTTCTGTTTTTTTCATAATTCAGCTTTAATAGGTGGTGTGTTTGTAGGAATTTATTCATTTCATCTAGATGATCTAATTTGTTGATCAACAATTATTCATAGTATCCTCTTTATAACCCTTTTGATTTCTGTTAATTTGGTTGTAATAACCCTTCTTTCATTTCTGATTTTAGTTATTTGCATCTCCTCTCTTTTTTCTTAGTCTGTCTAGGTAAAGGTTTGTCAATTTTGTGGATCTTGTCAAAGTACCAACTTTTGGTTTCATTGACTGTCTCTATTTTTTTTTCCTATTGTCTATTTCTTTTATCTATACCCTGAATTTTTATTATATACTCCCTTTGCTAGGTCCGGGCTTAATTTGCTCTTCATTTTCTAGTTTTCTAAGATGCAAAGGTGGTTGCTGATCTGAGATTTTTCCTTTTTATTAATGTATGCATTTATATTAAATAAATTTTCCTTTTAGCAAAAAAAATATATAAAAAATATTTTTCAGTCACTTTTGTAGAGGTATATCTAGAGTTTAAACAAACCCAGTTATTTTTAGTGCATTTTTTCATTCTTGCTTTTCCACTTAACATTACATCTTGAAAATTTGTCTTAAATACTCTTCAAAATTATGTTAATAACTGCATTATATTATATTTTATGGAGGTCAATAATTTAGCCATTCTCATATTGTTGGACATTCGGTCTGTTTCCAATTTTTTATCTTTATATAACTGCCTTCCACATTTAAAAAAAATATATTTTCTTTGATTATTTGCTTACAGTTTCAAGAAGTAGGATAATTGGTTGGAAGTGTATGAATATTTTACAGACTTCTATTTATGAATCTGATCTGTTCTTCAAAAAATTTTTACCAATTTATACTTATACTAGAAGATTTTGACATTGTTTTTCTCATAGCACCAGTATTGTACAGTATCATATTTTTTCATTTTGAGAAATGAAAAATGTGATTTTTCTGTTTTAATTTCCATTTCTACGAACATCTTAGAATGTATTTATTAGCCACTTGTGTTTCTATTGGGTGTGTGACTTGTCTGCTCATGTCCTTCAAATTTCTGATAAGGTTTTTCTAATTCATTTATTTTAAGAGTTTTTTATGCATTAAGGATGTTAATCTCTGTGTGTTAAATTTGTTCCTTATCCATTGACTTTAAACTCAATTTGTGATGTTTTCCTTCATCTGTATGTTGAGAAAATAATTTTATATCTAAACATTAAATAAATTTAAAAAATAATTAAAAAAAAAGAAAATGGATGAGACCTTCAAGTTCTCACAAATACGGTGGTATGTTTTAGTCTTGCAATTATATATTCATTTTTTTCTTCCTGATATCAACTAACTATTATTTTGAAACAAAATAACTCTTGTTGTTCGTTATACTTCCTTAGTGTCATTCCACAATACATCTGTTTATAAATTTTGTTCTCAGAATCTGTCTTAATGTATCTCACAAGCATCACAATTATTGTTATGGTTAAATGTGTTCAATTCATTTTATTTCTTGAAAATGTTTTAGGGAAGAAAAGTTGGATAGAAGAATCATGTGAGAACATTAGCGAACCCCAGTGTCCAGAAGGGTAAGATTATGTTGTGAGATATAAAATCTTCATTTCTACGAGTACCATTTTTTTCTCTTTCCAAATTAAGAAGATTGTTTTTATCTTCTTAATGATCAGTTATTGGTTCATTAAATATTATTTTTAGCCAGAACTTGTGTTTGGCATTGGTTATATGGAGATGATTATGGTATAACTACTATTCTGGAAGGGAGTAGGAAAAAAAGAGGCCATGAGTATTTCGTCATTAATATTTATGAACGCTAGGTGGAAGTATTTTTGTCTTTTTTTTTGGAAGAAAGCATCTTTATTTTCATTTGATATTTTGAGAGTTGAACTTGTAGCAAATTACTTTGTAGCTTATTTTGATTTTTTGTATTTTGGTCCATTTATAAATTTTAAATATGTCTGTGAGAGGATGTTACATAATTTTATAATTCATGTTTGTTCTCTTTGTCCTGAAAATATTTTGTGCAATACCTTACATACGAGGGTACCTCAAAAACTTCATGGAAAAATGGACTTAAAAGAAAATAAAAATTCTTCCATGAACTTTTTGAAGACCCTTTGTATGTTAGGCTATGAAAAAGAGTTTGTATAAAATTTAAAGGGTAGAAATTTTATGAAGGTGTTAGATATATTTATCTTTGTTCCACTTGAGATCTGCTATCTCATATAGTTTGAATTATTCATCTTCAGAAATATATATTTATTTCTTTAAAATAATGTTTTTTCTAAATGATTAATATTGCCAATGGGAATGTTAAATGGTACAACCAGTTAGAAAAACCTTTGACAGTTTCTAATAAAGGGAAATATACACCAACCCTATACTCAAAATAAATAAATAAACAAATAAAAATAAAACTTTTAAACCTGTATTTTAGCTCATTTTGTTCATGTATACAATTTATTTTTGTTATATAAGATGTCTGGTTTTTGTTTGGATGGGAGAGTACTTTATTGATTTAAAAACAGTTTTAACAACAGTAGCAAAATCTAAACCTAAACCAAATAATTTCAACAGAAGAGCCTTTTTTTTCAAAGGAGACTTCTCACATATGCTAAGCTGTCGTTTAAGGCCAAGATATATTGGAAAGTTTAGACTTAATGAATTTTTAATCTTTTTCTTCTAACCATTGATCATTATTTTTCAATGTAATGTTAAATCTTTTGGTAGAAAATATAACTCCTTTCGTTACAAGATCATAATTTAGAACACATTTTATTATACTGGAAATTATTATACCAATATATTTACCTGGTGGCCCTCTAAACTGCTTTTATGTTTTCTGTTGATTGAATAGAAATAGTTTTGTATAGATATGGGCCATGGAAACTATAGGCAGCTGAGCCTCCAGAGTCTCCCAATGGAGCTATGTTACAGATACTACTTATTGGTTACAATAACAGATTTTGTACAATCTGAAAATTGTATAAAATTTTTCTCCTTTTTATGAGGTTGCTTTTCTGCTGTGTGTGAAGGTAAGATGGAAGGAGGTGGGGTTGAAAATGGCAAGGCAATGTAAATATTTGCTCTCAAGTTTGAAATTACTGAGTAAACTCTCAATGGAAAGTCTTTTCACGGTTATCTAGTAATATACAACTCTCCTACAGTCTACCAGGTATCACTAGAAGCTGCAGAATTTCTGAGCCATAGCTGTTTTGGTGTAGCCATGTAGCACTTGTCCATAGCTAATCTCTTTTGCCTGATACATCACCGTATGTCGTTTTTTTTGCCCCTCTCTCTAGATTTCCACACCATACACATTAATTCCGTGTGTGTGTGTGTGTGTGTTAAACCTCATTGTTGGATCATTCCTAGTTTTGAATCATTTATTTGTTGTTTGTATATTTAAATGTAGTGAATATCTCTCAAACACCTGTATTATTTATATCTTTTAAATACAATAAGCTTAAGAGCCAAATATAGTATATAATTTATGCTAAATCTAATAGATACCACCTATTAGACTAACGTAGAGACAATGTCAGAAAGTGGTTGTTCAGGAAAAAAATTGATGAAGACAACAACATAATTTAGGCAGTGCTGTTTATCCACATTTGTTTTCCTAAAAATTTGATTACCTTTTAGTAGCATTTGGTCTAGCTTTTGGAATGGCAGTAACTATGAATGATGTTCTCTGTTTGGTGGCTCATAATGGCATGAATGCTTATAAATACTATTTAAATGAGAGATATATGCATATTAAGATATGATAAAGCATGTATGTGAATATATAAGGGTACTTCAAAAATTTCATGGAAAATGGAATTCAAAGGTAGTACAGATTTTCCCATGAGCTTTTTAAATATCTCATAAATACCAACCTCAGTGGAAAATCTTCACTGGACCTCTGCCAAGGAAAGAGAACATCGACACTGGATGTGTCTTCTTTTTGCTTCTTTAAACATTTTCCTTTTCTTTCTCATTACCCAGGTTTGAAATGCCTCCTACCCTCTTAATTTCTTTGGATGGATTCAGGGCAGAATATTTACACACTTGGGGTGGACTTCTTCCTGTTATTAGCAAACTAAGTGAGTAACTTCAGAGTTTACTAGTGGAGTGTCATGATTTCAGTGAGCTAGACTAGGGAGACAGTCTTTTTTGGAAAAGTACTGGCAGAACCTAACTGTTTCACCAAACTTCCCTATTGCAAAGTGTTGAACCTGGTAATAAGGCACTAGTCTTTAATTTTGTGGTTACTCTGAAGCTGTCCTATAAACACTTCTAAGATAATATAGTTTACATTAGGATTGTAACCCTTGGACATTTTAATAGATATTTATTCTTTCTTAGAATTTTGGATTTTTTCATTTGGAAAAACTATTTATTTATTTTATAAATATTCCATTTTAAGAATAGAATTTCAAAAATGGAAGGTATTTCTGATGTGATACTAGTAGTACAGACATAGAATATTTGCCTGCTCATTATCCTGTATTATCCTTTGGGTTGAATTGGATCCTTCCAGTTTCTTTATCTCAATCAAGGCCTTAATTGAATGATTATTATATAAGTTATTGGTGAAATAGTAGAATGGCCTTTTCTTAATATGATGCCTAAGTTTTAAATCACATTAACTACCAGCAATATGGGCGTCAGTGCTATCATCATTGTTATTGAAAGAGGAAAACATCCTATATGAATATAAAAACTGTAGTCCTTTGCTAGTTATCAGTGCTCACTATTTAAGTAGCTACAGTATAATACTGGACTGAAATAGAAGTAAGTAAATTAGATTATTGTAGTGTTCTTCTAGAATTCTAAAATATTATTTCCCAGAATTGAGTATATGAGGTTGCTTTAAACATTAAAATCACTCTCAGTAAATGCATATATGTGTCATTCTTATCTTATGAAGTACCAAAATAAATTTTTGACAGCTTTTTAAAATTTCAGTTTTTATTTTCTACCTGGAAGAAAAAAAATTTTTAAGTAAATAATTATTTGGCTTAAAAAGTTGTTCAGCTTTGGGGCCGGCCTGGTGGTGCACTGGATAGTGCGCTGCTTGGGAAGCGCGGCGGCGTTCCCGCCTGAGGGTTCGGATCCCACATACAGACTGGTTCCCGCTCACTGGCTGAGCGAGGCGTGGGAGCAACGCCGAGGGTTGCGATCCCGTTGCCGGTCCCGGTCCAGTACGGGGGCGACACTGAGGGTTGCGATCCGATGCCGGACATGGAAAAAGACAAAAAAAAATAAAAAGTTGTTCAGCTTTGCATGGACAAAGCTCTGTTCTTACCAGCAAGCTCATGGGCTTTGAAGTTTGAACCCAGGCCTTTGTTACCATTACGGGGAGAGTTTTTCTCTGTGGCACCAAACATGGCATCCTGAGTTCAGAATAAAGGAGCTGTAGGTACCTATGACAGTATATGAAGTGGAAAAGACGTCAGTACATAGTTAGTCTAAACCCTAGCTTTGAATTACTGGGGAATGTACCCTGTAACTCTGCACTGTTAGGAAGGCACTGAGAGATGTAGACACATGCCAATCCGAGGAACCTTTTAAAGCAATGGAGTATTGCTGGAATCCTTAGTTACGTGTTTCTTCCTCAATAGCAGAGGCAGGAGAAGAGGAGCGAGATGCTGGGGCTGAATCAGCAGGGCATCAGGGACAGTCCACCTCAGTGTTTTCTCTGACTTGAAGCCAAAAGATGCTTTTAGTCTTTAAGCAGTGAAGTTCATCCAGGGTTAGCTGGTCTGGATCTATGGCCTGGGACACTCTCACCCCAGTGACTGCTTCACCTTGTTTACATTTGCAGAGTGAGCTACTGGTGCAGTTTTTGTTGTTTTTTTTTTAAAACTACCTGTTGTAATTTAGGTATTTGACCACCAAGTAGTGTCAGGGATCTAGCAAGCATCATACTATTACAACTAGTCCATCTTGAACCTATTGTTATTGATATGTATGGGAATTATTTAATTGGCTTAATTATTTTGTTTAATGTTTTTCTAAGAGAAAAATTAACACTCATCTTTAACATTGAATTTGTAGCCATAACCTCCTGGGCAAATTTTTTTTTTTCACATAATTTAGACTTCTGTGGTACCAAAGCTAAAGGAGGTAAGCAGGTTGTCAGATGTGTTTATTAATGATGTGTATTTTTTTCCCTTCTAGAAAACTGTGGGACATATACCAAAAACATGAGACCTGTATATCCAACAAAAACATTTCCTAATCACTACAGCATTGTCACAGTAAGCTCTGCATTTCAACTTTTATATGTTCACAGAAGCGAGATGTAATTGTAACATTTTTTGAGGGAATAATTAGATTTCAGATGAAAGAAAAATAATTTTTTTTCCCCCAATGTGTAGTTAAACAAAGAAACCCAGGTTCTGGGCTTTGCTCTTGCTCAGCTGCTTACTAGCTGTGGCCTTTGGAAACTCACTTTTACCTGCTGGGTCTCCATATTCTCAAATGTGAAAAGAGGTGATTGAAGACCCTGAGAAATGATTTCTTGGTTTCCTTTCAGTTTTAAGATTCTCTCGTCCTTCTATCCTTTTTTTTTTTGTCTCCTCACTAGTTTGGTAGCTTATTTTATTTGAGCCAAAAATCCATCCTACACTTATGTGGTCTCAACTTGTCTTTCCAGTCAGCTGGATGATGAGTTAGAGCCTGCCTCCGGATAGGATTACAGTCCTGTTTTTGTTTCAATCAAAGTTTCCAGAATTCATTCGAATCCAGGAAAAAAGTAGAATTCATTAAGCCTTAGGGTTGAAGCCAGAAAATGAGTATGTTAGCTTTATTGATACAAGCTATTCTTGGACCCAACGGAAAAGGAGTTTGTTCTGCAGAAAAGCTTCACTCATTGATGCAAAAAGACAAACAGACCATTTTAAAAAAAATTTGGGAGGCTGCCTAGTTACATATAGTTATATTATATATGCCTTCATCCATGGCATTCCTGACTTATTTTCTCCTGTTATATAATTTAAAACAAAAACTCTACATAAGTATTGAGTGGTTGGTTGTGTTCCAACAGTAGCTGTTTTTGTATTCTTCCCTCCTTAAACTTTATTGTAATTCCTGGTAGCTTCAGTTATCAGTTTCTCTTTGATGATTTTTCTCTGTGACTTTATTTAACATTAAATAAATTCATAATTGGCAGAAAATCTGTATTTTATGTTTTTCAGGGGCTTTATCCAGAATCCCATGGCATAATTGACAATAACATGTATGATCCCCAAATGAATGCTTATTTTTCATTTAAAAGCAAAGAGAAATTTAATCCTGAGTGGTACAAAGGAGAACCAGTAAGTTTTTTTATTTGTTTTAGCTACTGAAATAATTTATTATTATTATCTATTTCAGTCAGAGTAAAATACCAGATTTCCTGGAGGTCTTAATAACCTACTTTATTTAATATGTCTGTAGCCATCCTTTCATAAATAGAGATGAATGCTGGTAATCTGAAATACAACTTGTATGATTGCATAAAATGAGAGTAGTTTATTTCCTAGATGAATTTGGGTTTTGCTGAGCCACTTTTCTTTTCTGCTTGATTCTTCCTTCTTATAGTAATATCAAGTAGCAGTAGTTTGAGGGAAATGATTTTGATCTACACAAAGCTATGTCGTTTCTGAAAGAAGTAAACTTTGGTTTTTAATTCATGTGTACTAACTTAGAAGATTCTCTCTGATTGTGATTTAGATGTGTTGTTCTTTTTAGTTTTTTAAATTGCCACAATAATTTCAGTGTCTACTTGGATAATCTCGGTATTCCTCTTAGAAGGAAAAAGAGCATAATGTTTAATTGGCAAGTTATGAATTCAGATTTTAGCTCTGACATTTAAAGCTGTATGACTTTGGGTAAATCATTCCTTTTGTGCCTCAGTTTTCTCATATCTACACTGCAGGTAATACTATTAACTACTTCAAAGGGTTATTTTGAGGATTATGTAAGTTAATAATGTAGGATGCTTGTAGTAATGCTATTTAGAACTGTGATTGGCAGTAATAAGTGCTTAATAAATGTTAATTACATAAGCAAAGGTGTCAATAAATTAAAGACATGTATATCTGTGAATTTTTCTTCTTTCAAGAGAAATATACTGAGGGGTTTAGCTCTAAATGTTGCAGGAGTTGCCAACTGACTTACGTTCATCTATTTAGATGAATTTAATCTCTGATTATTTAATATCTTTTTGCTTTTGTTTAAGGGCCTTATTACAGGATTGTTGTAGTCTAACTGTTGGAGCTCATTAACATTAAAGACATTCTAGCACATTCCTCTACAGAGGAATGCATTGGTCTTGGGTGAATACATACTTTCCTAAGAGATGAATGTTTGTATGATGTCCTAACGTTCCTTCATTGTCTTCCCAGATTTGGCTCACAGCTAGATATCAAGGCCTCAAGTCTGGCACATTTTTTTGGCCAGGATCAGATGTGGAAATTAAGGGGATTTTCCCAGACATCTATAAAATATATAATGGGTATGTGTAGATGAACTTTTTCTAGGACCTATATTGTAGAACAGCTCACTTTTCTCTCTTATCAAGTCCTAAGCTCCAGAATTTGAGTGATATGTTGGCTGAAAAATGAGAACTGTCAGAATAAGAAGTCTATCATAAAGAGTTTGAGATGGATGGTAAATAGACAGTAAAGCTAGAAAAGTGTTTTCTAGAATCACTTATAACATGTGTTCAGATCTTTGGGCAGGAGTAAAAGATGGGGTCATGGTGAATGGAGAGATCTGAGGGTAGGGGCACTGCCCATGCTAACTCTGGGAAGAAAAGAACTAGGAGAGGAGAAAGATGAACATGTTGAAGAGGACACAGGTAGGAATGCCTCTCTGGTCTCTGGAAATATTGTTTAAAAGAAGATATTAATGGCACCTCTGTATTTCCATTTCCAAATTACTTTAATAAAATGCTTTCTAATGTAAGAAACTTATCAGAATAACCTCCTCATGATATTAAAAATCCATGACATATTGAGGGAAAACAGTTTTGGTTTTTTTTTGCAGCTGGCTGGTATGGGGATCCAAACTCATGACTTTGGGGTTATAAGGCTGTACTCTAACCAACTGAGCTGACCGGCCAGGCTGCAAAAATTTTTTTATGGAAGAATCCCTTTGGCTGATTTTAGTGAGGCTACCAAAATAATTTATACTTATGAAATTTGTATTGTAAAATAAATACAACATTGTATGTGGTGGTGGTGAATAGAACAGATCATAAATCCCAGACAAGAAATGCTTAACAATTTTCTCTGGTAATCTTACGCTGTTCTGTATTCTTTGCGGTTCCATGAGTACAGTGCAGTGCCTCTTTGCCCTATTACTTACCATTGATGGTAATTGAGATTTTATGTGCCATGCATTCTACTAGGTGTGGGTGATTTAAAGAGTAATATATGGTCTCTGGCTTTTCAAGGTCTAGTAGAGAACACAACTAACTGTACTTGGGGTTGGGTAAGCAGTCTGATGAAGGTGTGTAAACAAGAGTTTGTGCCCAGAGGAAGCATAAGTAATTCTGAGAAAATGTTGCCTGGAGAACTGTTACCTCTCACAAGGTGCCTACTTCCCAATTGTATGGAGATCCTCAACCAGTGAATTCTTCAGGAGGCACCCTTTGTAGAATGTATTAACTTATGAATTATTCATGTGGTATGCAATGGCTGTTCTTGGGAACCTGATTAGTACCCTCAAGAATAGGGCACGAAGCATATTTTTAAAACCAATTACAACCAAATAAAACTTAAGTGTAAAACTTAACTTTTGTTCCTTCATTGGGTAAACAGATTTAGATTTGAAGTAAAACTCTTATATGACTTAAACACAGTAGATGCGTTGGATTGTTTTAGAATACCTCAACGCTATTTTCAATAAGAAAAATATTTATATTTTATATCCAAACAGTTGTCACCAACTTGTTTCATATTGTTTATCCTTAATTTTAGTTCGGTACCATTTGAAGAAAGAATTTTAGCTGTTCTTCAGTGGCTACAGCTTCCTAAAGAAGAAAGGTATGTAGGTGATTAATTTCTATTGCAAATAATCCTTTGTTTTATAGAAAATAGACTACTACAGAACTTTGCTATTGGCTATGGATGTTTTATATCCAAAAAAACTCTTCAGTGAACTTTTATGGCCACATTTTGAACAATTCCAAACCTGTAAATTATTTTTCAGCAAGTTTAGAAATGGTATCCCAGCATTGTAGAATTTTTAATCACTATCAATTGTTGAATTATTCTTTCTATTCTGTTTTTCAATGTGTTCATAAAATATTACATTTTGATACTGTTTGATTTAGACCACACTTTTACACTCTGTATTTAGAAGAACCAGATTCTTCAGGTCATTCATATGGACCAGTCAGCAGTGAAGTAAGTATATTTTTATCAGTGATTACTTCATTTAACCTAGTATCATGTAATTGAACCTCGCTTTGAAGCAGGTTTCTAGACCATTCCATAAGAGATATTCAAATAATCATTCTTTATTGAGTTGTTACTAGGAAACTAGAGACAGGAAAACCACTCATAGACTGACACTGTCAATGTAACATCATGTTTGACTCGACACCCTTTCAAGAAATTAGCCAGCTCCTGGCCATGTTTGTAATCTGTATAGTGCTTTAAACATCAACTATTGCCCTCAATTCTCCTGTGGCCATATAACTTTTGTATCTTGGAGCAGAGGAAGCATTAGAACAGAAAATGATTTGAGCTTCTTTCCTTATACCTGTAAGTTGACTTTCCTTCTGATATGTATTTTATCTGTGACATAAGATATGGAAAGAAACAATATGGTAAGGATCTGTGAATATTGTTGGTCATGGTAAAAGGGACGAGAGGGATTGACAGGATCAGGATCCTTCACATCAGAATCATTGTCTAGTTATCTTTTGCTCCTTGTGATTCCAAGGGATAAAAGACTACAAAAACACACTCTTCCTTAACAGTGAGGGCTTAATCCCCAAATTTCTATTCCTTCTCCTGCCCAGGAAGCCCAGGCTGGACAGTTTGTAAGCCTCAGGGACTCTTCAGTGTAGGTCCAGATGGCCTGACATATCTATTGTGAGCCCTGTTTTTGAGGGTGCTACTTGGTCTAAAATACTTCACCAACAGCAGAGGAAGGAAGATAGCAAAAACCACGCTCATTTTTCTCACTTGAATTTAAAACAGCTGCCTAAATTGTCTTCCCTTGGCTTCCCTAACCCTGGGTCTGCCCTAGAGTTGCTCATGTTAAAGAGCAGGTACTACTTGGATTGCTTTCACTTCAGATAAGAGAGCAAAGAGAAAAGAAGTTGACCGTCACCTAGGTCTTCTGTTCTTGTCCTTTGTATTCTTTCCATCAAAATTCATCTCCTGCCGCTCCACTGGGGTTAATAACCTTATTGTACCATGCTTTCATTCTGTCCTTCAATTAAGAAAGCTCCTTCGTAGAGGTGGAGTAAGGAAGAGGTGTGGCCAGCAACATGCTATATCATGCTTGGTCAAAGGGAAAAGTTTCTCATCGCTGTTCTCTGGGTTTGAACAATGGGCCAGATGCTAGTGTGATTTTTACTCTTTCACTAAAGTCACTGATCCTTAAGAGCCATGACTAAATCAATTTGGCTGCAGATAAGTCTAAGGATCATTTTGTAACTGTTTGGTTATCAGGTTATATAAGTTTTAAAATCGGTGCTGCCTTTTCTAATTCAGTAATGATTTTCCAGAGTACCTGATTTTCTGACTTATCTTTGTTCAAGGTTGAGGTCATTACTTTTCAAATCATATTCATCAATGTGCAAACTCTGTTAAACTCTAATGTTACTGGCACATCAAAACCCGCTTTATCTTTATAAAAAATTCCAATTCATATTGCTTGGATATCTTTAAGTGAAAGCTTGTCTCATATTACAGTGAAAACCCTAACCCTAACCCTAACCCTAACCCTAAAACTGCACAAGAATTTTTCTTAGGTGGTTTTGCAAGGAGAGAGGAAAAGATAAATCCCAGAAAGCAATTTGCTAAAACTGTTCTTGGAAATAATAAGTTTGTAAGGAAATAATAGGTTGTATTCCTAGGAGATCTAGTTAAAAAAATTAAGTACATAGAATTATAAAAAGCATTTCATGAATAATTTTAACATTTTGAAAATTAGGAAACATTGTCCTTACACAGTGGCATTTAAATAATCAGAAAATACAAGAAGAAACATTGTAGAAAATGAAGTGGTAATTAAGAATGCACTGGTTTCTGGCCCAACACTGTGGATTTCAGCTGATATTATTTTGTCTTAAATTGTCTCTAGTCTAAGTAGTAGCATTTGAACCTCAGGGAGGGAGAGCTGATAAGAACAGCTAATGTCATTCCCAAAATAATGATTGAGGGCTGGCCCGGTGGCGCACTGGAGAGTGCACCACCTGGGAGCGCGGTGGCGCTCCCGCCGAGGGTTCGGATCCCATGTGGAGACCAGTTCCCGCTCACTGGTTGAGCGCGGTGTGGGCGCAACACCGAGGGTTGCGGTCCCGTTGCCGGTCAGTAAAAAAGACAAAAAGGAAAAAAAAAAAATAATGATTGAACATGTACAGAAGATGGGCCCTTCCATTGTTCATGATCAGCAGTTATTTACTGTTCTTCATGTTTTTGACCCTGACCTGTCTTAGTCTAATCATAGTTGCATCCACTGAACTTTTCTTTTCTTCTTCTTCTTCTTTTTCTTTTTCTTTTTTTTTTAGCCATTAGTATGGAATACATCACCTAAGGTTGCTTTCCGTTCTTAGGTCATCAAAGCCTTGCTGAGGGTTGACAACATGGTCGGCATGCTGATGGAAGGTCTGAAAGAGCTGAATTTGCATAGATGTCTGAACCTCATCCTTATTTCAGATCATGGTAATCTGAATTTGCATCATTTACCCTTCAGGTTAAATGTTGCCCAAAACAGTTTACTTGATTGATTTTTGTATCACAGTTTTCTCTGAATGTTATAGTTAATTCTTTTTTGAAAATGTAGTTTCTTACGAAAAGTCTTTAGAAAAAATTTTTATTAAATATAAAATACAAGTGAAACACAGAATTCACAGAAATCTAACAGCTTACCAATCACAATGTACCTATATTCTGATTTGAGAAAGGCCTACACCAGGAATTTGAATAATTAAAAAAATTTTTTTTTAATATTAAATTTTGTAACTCTACAACTTTAGATTTAATTGGAACAGGTTATTACGTACCTCTTCAATTTTCTTTACTATGATAAATCTGACTTTAGAGGTGGTATATATTAATTTTGATAGTATTTTAATTTCACTTTTACTTACTGCAGTCTTTGTAAAACATGTTTTTTATGTATAGCTTTGGGACTGTAGAAGCAGTGTGCATACAAAAAAGTGCAAAGTTTCTTTTTGTTTTTGTTCTTGCTATTGTTATTTGCTTCAGAAATAATTACAGAAAGCTATTTTTAGAATCACTTTTAAGAAGTTATATGCTGGGGCCGGCCCGGTGGCGCACTGGATAGTGCGCCGCTTGGGAGGCGTGGCAGCGCTCCCGTCCGAGGGTTCGGATCCCACGTACAGACCGGCTCCCGCTCACTGGCTGAGCGAGGTGCGGGAGCAACGCCGAGGCTTGCGATCCCGTCGCCGGTCCCCGGTCCGGTACGGGGGTAACACTGAGGGTTGCAATCCGTTGCCGGACACGGAAAAAAGACAAAAAGACAAAAAAAAAAGAAGTTATATGCTAAAGAAGCTCCAGTTCTGGAATGAAAATGAGTCATATACTTCCAGTTAATACCCTAGGTGATTTTGGGCAATTAAGTGGGCTTTCATTTTCAGTCTAAAATTGTGATAAGACATTTCTCTTCACTCACACAATGATATGGTCATACATAATTAAGAAAAAAACATTAAACTAATTTTGGGTGAAAGAAAGGAAAAAGATTTTGAAAAAGTGAAGTGGTAGAAATAGCTGAAATTCTGTGTCTTACCTATCAGGTGTTGAATTAATATGAGCCCATGTTTAATGAATTAAATTCTGAGAGTAAAAGAAATTCTGCTCTACGTATTAAATTTTTTTATTAAAATTGCAACATGTTTTGGGATTTTTTTTCTCCTAGGCATGGAACAAGGCAGTTGTAAGAAATATGTGTATCTGAATAAATATTTGGGGGATGTTAAAAATATTAAAGTTGTTTATGGACCTGCAGCTCGATTGAGACCCACTGATGTCCCAGATAAATACTATTCATGTAAGTGTATCTCTAAAGTAACTTTGGATATGGTTATATTAAGAATACATTCCTCTAAATCATTATATATCTAAAGTAAAGGGAATCAATTACTTTCCTTTTCATGATTAAAACTTCAGTGCAAATCTTTTGTACCAAGGGGATTTTATGGGTCTCTATGTGAGGACACACATCTAAATGGTTATCTGTTTGTTATTCATGGGCTAAGCCTATTATTTGATGAGCTTAATAAATTTTATGTTGTAGTGTATACTTTACTTGTATTAGGTTCAAAATTGTACTAGAAAAAAGTTTGAGAAAAACTCAACTATATTTATTTAAGTTTAGTTAATTAATGACACTCCATTAAAATAACTTACTTCATTTTAGAATAATGTTCGGTTATGAGAAGGAATGCTGGAGAGATTATTAATTCTACAAGCAATTGATTTCTGTCCTCAGAAATGACTTCCTTAAACCATTCCAAAAAAATAATAATAATAAAGAATGAACCTTTTAAACAGGGAAAAAGAAAAAAATTTCATTCTCTCTTGACCACATGTAGAACATGAACTGCCAAGAAATGTTTAAAAATACTCATTCTTTTGCATGTCAAGCCTATTTCATAACTATTTCCACCTCTGGTACCGTACTCTTTTTGATTAACACTCTTGATTACTTTCAGATATGCGGACAAATTTTATCTTTTTGTTACAATTAACTTTGAAATGGAAAGAGAAAAAAGCTTTTTTTAAGAATTGGGTTTAGTTTAGGCTCTGCTCGATGTAAGTTTCAATAGATACTGTTGAATTTTAATGAAGAGAAATAGATTTCACTGATGGAAAATGGTTATGCAAATATATTAACACAGTGACACAAAGCACAGGCTCCATATGCACACTGACTTTTTTTTTTTTTTTTTTTTTTTTTTTTTTTTTTTTTTTTTTTTTTTTTTTTTTTTTTTTTTTTTTTTGTGGTGGCTGGCCACAGAGATTGAACCCTGGATTTTGGTGTTATCAGCACCATCCTGTAACCAGCTGAGCTAACTGGCCAGCCACAATGACATGTTTTACTTACTTTTATTTTTTTAAATTTAAAAAAGTGGTATATGATTATTATAAAACTTATATAGCCAATATAAAAAACTATTAAACTGTTATAAAAGATGTACAGGCAATGGCAGTTTCCAGAGATGTTTGGGATGGCTAAGCTTTAGCCACACCCTTATCTAAGTTAGGCCCCCAAATTTCCCAAAATAAAGGAAAAACTGTATATCAATTTATCTACATATATGCATAAAATATATGTACAATATATATTCTTTAGATGATTTTCTCAATCTTAAGTATGGCTAAAAGAATCTTTATAAAGCTAGACAGCTACTGATATAACACAAAATACGCTAAGTAAATCTGTGAGATTACTATGCAAATTCAGTTTTAAAATTAGTCTACTTGCCTTCTCTTTTAAGTTACTCTGTGCCCCTCTTATTTGGAAATTCTGGATTTATCATTGAACATTAGAATATACAAAGTAAAAAATAACAGTTTCATATCCTAAGTTCTCCTACTTCACAACTCACTTCTCTCTGGGGACAACCACTGTTAAGTTTGAAATATCTTCACAGGTATTTGCTACATGTATATAAAATACAAAACGTTTTCATTTTTATCTAATGAAATCATACTAGATCTAGATGGATATATGGATGGATGGATAGATATTTGGGTGGATGGACAGATGGATGGATGGGCAGATGAATAGATAACCAAAAGGATGATGAATGGACAGACATGGATGAGAGGGATGGATATGACACTTAACAATATGACACTATTTCATGGGCATCAGTGCAGAGTAGTACCTAAAGATCTGTTTCATTCCTTTCAGTGGCTGATATGTAATGACTTAAATGAGCTGTTTGAAACCTGCTTTGGTATTTAAATTGGGATTTGATTCTGACATTCTACATTTTTGTATTTTTTTTTAATTGTAGCATACCATCAACTTTTAATTCTTGTGTTTGTCTCCCTTCAGTTAATTACGAAGGCATTGCCAGAAATCTTTCTGTGAGTATTTTTATTTTTCCATTATCTAGTTATTGTTAGTTTTTTATAATGTATGTATTTAGAGTAAAGGTTCAGTATCTGTTCTTGGAATTATAGGATTAGAATTTTTGAGTATCCAGGGCAATATGTAAATGCTTATAGATTTTAAAGATCTTTAAGGATACCTCCCAATAATCTAGGTTTGAAAGTTTTAAAAAATTTATTTATTGGCATTATGAAATTTATATGATAGTTCAAGAAATAATTGAAAAGATAGAAGAAAAAACCTATAGCTATACCACCATAAATACTGTTAGCATTATTATATTTTTACTTTCAATCTTTTTTTAATGCCTATTTTTTAAAAATAAGTATCTGTCCTAGTGTTATCTATACTACATTTTGTATTTTATACAGTTTAGGTCTTGAAGAAAATTCTTGCAATTGCAGTTACAAGGGTGTTTGAACATAGGATCATTGGTAGTAACTTGAATATAATCTAGTGACACAGGTTAAGGGTCCTGGGGCTTTTATGCAATAATAATTATGATTTCCTATAAACATTTCAATTAGCATGGAATATTCACCTTGTACATTATACAAGTAGTAAGAACTCTTAGTTATTTTTCCGTCTGTGACTTATTGGGCAGGCTGGTAAACTGTTTGGAGAAAAAATTCATGTGGAATTAGAGAGCAATTTCAAGAGAAGTTTACACTCACGTAATATGGAAATAATAGTTTTTCTTTGCCTTTTACAATTTCAGTGTCGGGAACCAAACCAGCACTTCAAACCTTACCTGAAACATTTCTTACCCAAGCGTTTGCACTTTGCCAAAAGTGACAGGATCGAGCCCTTGACATTCTATTTGGACCCTCAGTGGCAGCTTGCACTGTAAGTTCTGACAGTATCCCTGGTGAACTTAGCCTGCTCTGTTAGTAGTTCATGGTAACCACTGGGCACTGTCTAACAACACTGCTCTGCAAAAACTGTACAAATATGATTCTCTTCACTCACACACACACTATTTCTCAATCTTGGCCTGTGGATAATTCTTTGTTGTGGGGAGCTGTCCTGTACATTGTGGGATATTTGCCAGGGTCCCTGACTTCTACCCACTAGATGAAAGTAGCACCTCTTCTCTGGTTGTAATAACAATAAATTTCTCCAGACAAAGCCAAAAGTCCCCTGAGGAAGAGGGATTACCCCTGGCTAAAAACTATTGCCTATTGCTCTGGCCTTTCATATACATATTGATTTTTTATTATGATTTATGTGATGTCATTTGCCATTATATCCCTTCTACACATTACAGTCATGTCTAATATTACCTTCAAAGTCCAGAAAACAATTGGTAAAAACACTTTATAATAATGTGCAACTACCTTTATTATACATGGTTGTTTTTTTCATTTTTCTTATACTAATCCATCAATAAACTTCAGTTTATTGGTGTGTTTGATTTATTATTTGGTTGGTTAACATTGTTAAATATCTCAAAACTTGATCATTAACTCTTTTGATGGTTGCCAAGAAGCAAGTCATGATAAATACCTGTGTTAAGCAAAACTTAAGCAGTGAACCAGAATTCAGTCAACAGAATTACACTGTCTTCACCCTTTTAGAGAACTGTGCTTTTAGCCTTTATATGAAAGGAGGGAGGGTCCTTACCCTCATGGGAGAACTAATATTTAGTGAATTTCTACTATATTTTAAACATTTCTTTAGGCTATATCATTGAATTTTTTATAAATAACCAACATGAGAAATTGAAACCAAGAGAAGATAATTAATTGTCTAAAGTCACAGCTAGTAAATAGCACGATCAAGGTTTAAAACCACTTCTGTCTCAATGCTAGTGGTTTTCCCCCTCTATGCTACATTGCTTATAGTTGATTTGTCTGTGAAAGGAAAGATAGATGTGACCCCTTAATGCTTTTCAAAGCTAGGAGGGTTTTTTTTAAACCTTTATGTTTGTTTAACAAAGCAGCTACTTATTCTTTATTAAAGAAAATAATGTTATGGTTATCAATTATGCTTTATGAAAAAATATTTATTATTAATTCATGTGTCAAAATTAGGAATCCCTCAGAAAGGAAATATTGTGGAAATGGATTTCATGGCTCTGACAATGTATTTTCAAATATGCAAGTGAGTAAACCTATTATACTTTAAAAATAGGATTAAATATGAAGAAAAAGTGATATATAAAGTTTTAGACAAAAATACAGACTGATTGATTATATACCTTGAATGACAATTATCAAAGCATATGCCTTCATAGACCTTTTTCCTTTGGACATTAATTTTCTTAAAATTTAATATTGGTGTTTCATGAGCATGTCACATATAACATATGTCCTACTAATTTTTATTAATTATTTCTAATAATTATTTTGCATTTGTGCTCCATTAAGAATATTGCTCCAGGGCCGGCCCCGTGGTGCACTCGGGAGAGTGCAGCGCTTGGGAACGCAGTGGCGCTCCCGCTGTGGGTTCGGATCCCATATAAGGATGGCTGGTGCGCTCACTGGCTGAGCGCGGTGCGGGCAACACCAAGCCAAGGGTTGCGATCCCCTTACCGGTCACAAAAAAAAAAAAAAAAAAAGAATATTGCTCCAAAGTAAAAGAAAGCCAGTGATTTAATAGATGAGACGGTATCATACTTATGTTCCGAAAGGAGATAATATTACCTAGCCCTTCAAAATTTTCAAAATACACTCACAATATGTAGTTATCTAATTGGTTCCTGCAGCACTGTGTGTGAGGTGGGCAGGGTGAAGGTTATAATGAAAACAGATTTTATCATCCATTCTGTTCTAATCATCAAATCAAGAATTGCAGTAACTAAGAGAAATATTGTAGATGTCCTTAGTTTATATGTGCAATGGGGGTTAAAACGGTATCTCACAAAGTCCATTGGGCAAGAAAGTGTTCCCATTATTTTAACATAACCAGTTTATATATGTAATATGGTTTTTGACCACATGTATACAGAACTGAAATGCACTGATACACTGTTTCTTTTCTGGCCAATCCAGGCCCTCTTTATTGGCTATGGACCTGGATTCAGACATGGCCTTGAGGTTGACTCCTTTGAAAATATTGAAGTGTACAACTTAATGTGTGGTAAGTGTGAACAGGCGGCTTTCATCCCTTCTGAGAACAGAGCTGGAATAGCATTATCAAAAGTAGGCCACATGGTGGGCACCTTTGTGGAGATGATGGTGAGAGACGACAGACCCTCACGTTGTCAACTCTCTTCTTCCTGACCCACAGTCACTGAAAAAATGTGTAGAACATACCATCTTATTACTTATCAGTTTTTTCCTCTAGGCTGCACACTGGTACAGAACAACACTCACAGTGGGTGGTCTGTACATCCCCAGTGCCTAGCACTTTGCCAGGGCTTAGTTTTATGACTCTTGAATCAGAGCAGTGGAGGAAGCTAGAGAAAGAGTTTGGAGGCAGTGAAAGGTGGACAAACAGGAGTCGTCTCTGGTAGCAATAATAGTTGAATGAATGGCAGTGTCAAGGATGGAGAAATGAAGGAGAATCTGTTAGGCATAGTCTTGGTTTATGCTGTACCTGTGAATTAGTACTTTTATGGTGGGGTATAAGTTTTAAATATTATTTCCTTTTTCAGATGATGATAGTGGGCATTTGCAAAACCTTAAATATGTCTTAAGTACCATTCTTTCATGGGAGCCTGTATACTTAAAATGAGTTAATAAATCTTAAAGTGCTTATAGCAGAGCCTGGCATATAGTAAGTGCATTACTGTATAAGTGTTTGCTATTATTATTATTAAGAGCGTGAATCTTAGACAAAGTCGGTTTTAAATCCTGGGTCTGCACATTCGTAGCTTTGAGACCTAGGGCAAAACGCTTTGATTACTCATCTACCAGATATTGATGATAACTTATTAAATTGTTTTGAGCATTAAATGAGAAAAATATGTTAACACAGTGATTTGTATATAATATGCATTTAACAGATGGTAAGTATAGTTATTATACACTTCAAAATTCAAAACATTTTATAGTGAAGTACAGCATACATATCAGTATTTCTGTTAAGAATAACATAGTCATAAGTACTCTAAAAAACCTCAGAGTTTTGTAGTTTTGTTTAAGTTAAAGAGTAAAGGATTCTTACATATATTTGGTTTTAAAAAGTTTTAAATCTTGACACAAGTCTACTATTTATTTGGTTTGAAATGTCTAAGTAACTCTTTACCATTATTGGAATTATGCAGATTTACTGAATTTGACACCGGCTCCCAATAATGGAACTCATGGAAGTCTTAACCACCTTCTGAAGAAACCTATTTACACCCCAAAGTATCCCAAAGAAGTACAACCCCTGGTAAAGTGCCCCTTCACAAGAACCCCCAGAGGTAACCTTGGCTGCTCATGTGACCCCTCAGTAAGTATTGCTGAGAAGTTTAGCCCATATGTGTGGTTTTATAGCAACCTCTTCATAGTGTGTGCTATGGAAATATTTAGTAATCAATTAGAATTTATCACTGGGGGTAAATATATATATTTTTTAATTTTATGGCACATGCAGACCTTTTATTATTTCTTTTTCCGCTTTCTAGTTTTTGCATTTTCAGCTCTATTTTTATTCCTTGGTGCTATGACTTAACTTGGGTGCAGGGGGGAGAAGTCTAGTTGAGTCCGTGAACATCCTGAGGCATGGAATCTGTGCTGTTATCCTAGCAGTAAGGTCTTGAGCACATAGTAAACTACCACAATGTTTATTCTCTAAATACATCCCAATCTATTTTAAATTTAGGGAGAAAATAACATTTTTTTGGTACAAAATGGATATATGACACTGTTCTTTTTTTACTCCTATCTTAATATAGTTGTCTTAAGAAGATAAAAATACCTGTCATGTTATTATGAACAAAATTGATGGTATCCTTAAAGATAGCAATTAGGGGAGTAGTTTATTTTATGCTTTTCATTCTGTTTTAGACTTAATGTGGGCTTGGAGAAAGACTGTTGAAGTAGAGATATAAGAATTATAAAGCAGCAACTATGTTCTTGTTTTTCAGTTACTACTGTTATGTTTATGCTAACAGTTTTGTCCTTTTGCAACTATCATTCCTCTCCTTTTAGCCTCATCAAAAAATAACTTTTGCTTACACAATACTGTTGTCAATTTTATCTTTGTTCTCTGTTGGGTTAATTAAACTGTAGAAGTTGTATATTAGAAAATGAAAACATGTCTCTTAATCCTTAAAAATAATTTTATAAACTTTTTTAGATTTTGCCAATTGTGGATTTTCAGACACATTTTAATCTGACCGTGGCAGAAGGTAAGGCCTGTTACTCTCAAGCTTGGAATGTGGAAGGAAGCAAGTTTTTTCTCTACAATGTGAGCCACACAGAATTGGTTTGGGGGCATTATTTGAGAATAACCAATAAAATAAAGGGAGTAATGGAGGACCACCTGATAAAATATGGAGATTTCTTTGCTTGACAATCTAGAATGTTAGTCATAAGGAAAGAAGGGATATTTTACAGTGGAAATAGCATGTAAAATATTAAGTGGAAGCTGAATCCCACCTTATGAGCATGCATGATGGAGGTGTGTAGGTTTATAGTAGGTCCTCAGATTTCCATTTAAAATACCTACTAAGCTCCTTTCTTACCTGGGTTTTGGTTAATTATAACGGATTATAAATTTATTTATCTAAAGTTATTTCATCATAACTTTTTTTTTTTTTTCTTTTTCCTAAAAGATGACCGGTAAGGGGATCTTAACCCTTGACTTGGTGTTGTCAACACCACGCTCTCCCAAGTGAGCTAACTGGCCATCCCTATATAGGGATCCGAACCCATGGCCTTAGTGTTATCAGCACCGCACTCTCCCGAGTGAGCCACGGGCCGGCCCTTGTCATAACTTTTGAATAAAAACTGAGACTATGCAACTGATGAAAAATTTCAGTTTATGACTTGAATGTTCAGAGTCACTTTGATATAACTCTGATCCTTGAGTTACTTGGCTCACACTATTTTTCCTGCTGGAATAAAGAGGTAAATTCTGCGTTAATCCTGACTTGAGCTTGTCTATATAAAATCCCTACTGTAAATGTTTGGATTAGCGAGATCTTTAATAGCCCTGAGGTGGCAAAGTATTGTGGTAAAGGATGACACTTTCAGAACTGGGTAATTCTTAGTTTGAATATGAGCTTAGGAACTGTATGTCCATGGAAGAAGTATTTTTTTCCCTGTAAGCTGCTGTTTCCTCATCTGTAAAATGGGCATATAACCTGAATTCATGGAGAAATGTAAGAATTTATTAGATGGTATATACAAAGAACTCTACAAAGCACATTGACACTTGGACAAAAGGCAATAAACTGAATTGTTAGTGTTTCATTCAATTTAATCTCATAATTTTAGTTCTGGGCTTTTGCTTTCCAGGAGTGCATATCATCCAGAAATTTTTCTTTCTGGAGTATGTCCTGATGAATAAGTAATTAATGTAATGTTAAAGAATTTTTGATAATATACATCCTAACTAGACTTTCTAGCAATTTCATGTAAAGTCCTCTAGTAATATCTTGATATTACATTGATATTTCAGTATCTTTACAGGTGAAAATTGCAGTGACCCTCGATTGTTGTGTTAATTGTTTATGGTTTTGTTCTTTGTAATTACTTGGGTATTTTTACAGTTAAAAATAATTTTTCAATATGGCCAACTAGAGGAAAAGTTTAGATGAGCGTATCATTATGTATCACTTAATGCACACTAACTACATTTAAAAATGGTGGTTTCATTTCCCCCTTATGACCCAAGAGAAGATTATTAAGCATGAAACTTTACCCTATGGAAGACCCAGAGTCCTCCAGAAGAAAAACACCGTCTGTCTTCTCTACCAGCATCGGTTTGTGAGTGGATACAGCCATGACATCCAAATGCCCCTTTGGACATCCTACACTGTCTACAGAAATGCAAGTATTTGTCACCTCTTTAGCAATGTGTCGCTATTTCAAATTATCATTAAGCAAAACATTGAAAGCATAATTTCCTGTTGTTAATCTTTGCTCTATAATCAGTTCTCAAATTAGAGGACACAGAACAAAGAGGCAGAAAAATTAGGTCTCAGTGCTAGCTCTGGCAGTAACTCGCTGTGTGGCTTTGAGACTCAGCAAATTTCTTCTGTGAAATAGGGGTGTGCAGTAAAGGATTCTTCCTTGCCTTCCCCGTCCCCCCACCCAGTTTTGATATTTTATGATTCTAACTTATAATTTCATGGTATTAGTTTTATAATCAGTCACAATTATTCATTTCTAAATACATAGCTGTGTGAGCACAGTATTTCTCCCAGCTGCCCAAATCTAAGGGGGTCTACACTGATGGGGAAAGACATTCAAGTTCAGTAACGTCATCACATCTACCATCTACAGGAAGAACCCCAGCCTAGATTAGAGAGAGGCCAGAATCCTGTCCACCACCAAGATCAGAGGAGTTAGGCTTTAAAAAGAGTGAGGGCAAATATCCCAGTATCCCAGATCACCTTTTCCCCTGACTTCCAGTCCCCCAGGGGCTGTGGTGGGAAGAGAAATGGTGAAGACAGTCCTTGAAAGGGAGAAGTGGGGAGGAGACATGTGAGATTTAGATCTCACGTGGAATTGGAATTTAAAACTAGACTGACCAGATTTTCAGGACCTGAACATGACTGGCGAGATATATATGCCCTTAAGGGATGGAAAAGTGGATTTGAGTGAGCTCAGTTGAGGGTAGCAGTAGAATTTAAAAAATAAAATTGCTGTTAATACTTACTGAGATTGCTAAATAGGGAGGTGGGGATATGTGTCACCGTATATGTCATTTCTGTGTTAAAAAATGTATATGTAAACATTCACATATTTATATAAAGTTTCTTGAACTTGATTTTTTTAATTTTTGAAGACTGCTTTAAAACACTTTAAACTTTTTTTTTTTTTCCTTTTTTGTCGTTTTTACTGACCGGTAATGGGATCGCAACCCTCGGTGTCGCGCCTGTACCGGGGACTGGCAACGGGATCGCAACCCTCGGTGTTGTACCCGCACCGCGCTCAACCAGTGAGCGGGAACCGTTCTCCACATGGGATCCGAACCCTCGGTGGGAGCGCCGCTGCGCTCCCAAGCGGCGCACTCTCCAGTGCGCCACCGGGCCGGCCCTAAACTTTATTTTTTACTTGACTTTGTAATATATAGCAGTCTACACTGTTTTGTAGGCACTCCATCCTACTTATTGTTTTTAATACTTTAATTGTGGTGTTGTTTGATGCTTCTTCTTTTTAAAAAAAAAAAAAAAAAAGATGACTGGTAGGGGGATCTTAACCCTTGACTTGGTGTTGTCAGCACCACGCTCAGCCAGTGAGCGAACTGGCCATCCCTCTACAGGGATCTGAACCTGTGGCCTTGGTGTTATCAGCACCTCACTCTCCCGAGTGAGCCATGGGCCGGCCTTGTTTGATGCTATTTGACTTCTCAGCTTTCTGATATTATCAAAGCTGCATGAATTTACAGTCATCACTACTCCTGAGGTTTTTACATTGCTTTTCAGTGGTTTTTCCTTCCTTCTCCCAACAACTTTTGGCATGTGGTTGGGTGTGGAAGATAGACTCAAATCTCTAAAAATCAGCATTTTACTACATAAAAGCTTAAAATTGTATAGATAGATAAAAACATTATAAACAAAATAGCACAGCAGAATAGGAAAATATTTGTACATGTATGACAAACAATTAATATCCTTAATATTGTAAAGAATGTTTGCACTTCAGTTAGAAAAAAGATGAATACACTAGTAGAAAAATGAAAAAATGGTTAACAGGAAAAGACCATTAGAGCTCCATAATTTTATGATGTAGTTCACCTTTGACTATTTATAATGGAATTTCCTTCTCTCCTCTATGCCTGATACCTAATGGTTCTTTTCATTTTGTTCTTCAGGACAGTTTCTCTACAGAAGAATTTTCCAACTGTCTTTACCAGGATTTTCGAATTTCTCTTAATCCTGTCCATAAATGCTCGTATTATAAAAATAACACTAAACTGAGTTATGGGTTCCTCTTCCCACCACGTAAGTTTCTTCCTCCCTGACCTTTCCTTTTCTCATCCTCTTTCTCTCTTACTTTTCGTTTTCTTTCTTGTTTATAAATATATTATACCTTGAGGGGCAATGCACATAGCCTTGTTTATTTATTAGTAAAAATTGTGAGTTAGAAACATAACTACTAGGGAAAAATTTAAAGCAGCTAAAATTTGAATTTTAATAAAACTTTGTATTTTTTTTTGGAAAGTCGTGTTTTAGTGCAGATACTGCAAATAGAACACTCTACTTTTCTTTCCTGAATCTCTTTTAAACAGGATTTGAGAAAACTCAGTCAAGTTAGAAGGACACATCTGGATTCTTAGGAAGAAGATATAACCTGGTTGTTTAAAAAAAAATGTGATTTTTCAAAGATTAAGTAAAGGTAGAGTCTTAAGTGTGGTTGCTTTTTCACTGATACAAAGCCTTTACAGAATGGCTTTTTTGAAGTTAAGTGTTCTATTTTTTGAAGTGGCAAATTTATATGTTCAAAGGAGAAGACACTTTGAGGCCAGCCTTAAAAGGCAGAAATCAGAAGATTCTAGGTGCTCAAATACCCCCAGCATTCAGTCCAGTCCCCAGAGTGTGTCTGAAGTCAGAACTTGGCTGTTGCATTATAAAAATAGACAAGATCCAAGCCTTAAATTCATACAAAGAAGCCTTTTACAGCGTTTTGAGGCAGACATCCTGTGATGTTTTTTTCTGGGTAGTAGGTGTTGTTCTGAAGCCAGATATTCTCTTTTTTCTTTTCACTATGAAAAAGCTTAAGGAAAGAAGATTGTCAATACAATACACTTTAGATGAAATAAGGCAAGTAAGGTAAAGTTTGAATATGTTTGATTTGGGGTCCTTATTAAAGTATTTGTTTCTTTGATAAATTCATTTTGGAAAAGAAAGTATTTAAATACTTTATTTTTTTTTAAGAGACTTGACCAAATACATTACATTTTACTTTGACTCAATACCCAGGAAAGTTTTACAGGTTTAAGATGATACTCAGCAAATTTTTAAACATGCCCCCCACCATGAAATACTGTAATTTCTAGTGTTATTTGTGAAGAATGAAAAAGTTGTCCTTTTTTTCTTTATAGAACTAAATAAAGATTCAAGTGAAATATATTCTGAAGTTTTCCTTACTACTAATATAGTGCCAATGTACCAGAGTTTTCAAGGTAAAAAAGTTTTATTTCTATATTTTATAATTTCAATGAATATCTATACATATAGGTATGATTTATGTATAATAGAATGTATGGTCTAAATTAAATGACTAAATATCAAGTACATTTTTCAAGGTTTGTTTAACTTTGAGAATAATAGTACATAAAAAATTGTACAAATGTTAGAATAATAATATCGCAATATCTATTCTGCTTTGTATTTAAATGTTTATAAACATTTTTTTTTTTTTTTTTTTTTTTTTTTTTTTTTTTTTTTTTTTTTTTTTTTTT